AGAAATATCTGGTCATGAGGCCCAGCTGGGGCTCGACACCAAGACAAACAGACTGTCTGACCGTCAGTTGCAACGTGACTCTGACTCTGACTGAATCAGATTGGTTAGCGCGCGTGATGGTGAAATGCGATGTGAAGAGCGAGCGTTGCAGAAATGCGTTATAATGTGGGATGTTCCCATAGTACAAACTACGGGAAGTAAGAAATAGGAATTTTCGAGGCAGAAGTATTTTTCTGTCATCCCTTAAAATCCCTTTACTACTCCATCCAGGCCCGTCTTCTTCCTCCTCTAAAGTATGAATGTAATATCTGACGAGATGAATTCCTGTTTTGAAGTTAACATACACTGCTGCATCCGACATCGTATAGAGGATGCCAATTAGCGCATTATTCCGTGTAGAACGATATGAGTGTGCAAGGCTCAAGTGGAAGTACGCAGTTGTAAGTACTGTCTTTTTTTGGCATGTGAGAGACATAATTGTTTTATGTACTGTTGATTTTTGCAGAAAGTCGCAGCTCCAGAGTATTCTCCTGTGTCTGGAAACATCATTCCCATTACATTAACTGTGATTCCAACAAAGAGTATGGTCTTGGAGGTTATAATGTCAGGATTTTTTAAATGCTGTGTTTCAAACATTTAAAGGCTTTTAAGAATTCAAGCTATTGGCTAGTACACTTGAAGTCTAAATGCTATCTCTTAAGTTAAAGATTATCACTAATATTCATGAACTGAAATTCCTTTTATGCATGATTTATAAACATTTTGGCATGAATGTTAAAAAAAAATACCATTAATATTCTTGAAACTGAATTTTCTTTTATGCACAATTGATGAACATTTTGGCATGAAAATAATTTGATAATCCATTTACGACTGGTCATGTAGGGAATGCTCAAGTGGGATAATTCTTCATTAATGAAGTCCACCTTTCCACCTTAAACTGCAACAGAATAAGACTTTTAGATACATTACCCCCTATTTTAAAAACTGGTAGAAATTGCACCATCATAAATTTTTCAGCAACCAATATGTTGTGTTTTGACGGTCAATAAAAGTGTTGTATGTCAGAAGGGGTCGGAATCAGGCAGGAGGAGGTTTTGGTGGGGGTATGAATGCAGGTGCAGGGGTTCAGCCAGCAGGAGGAGATCAGGTCGTCACAGGCCACTTGCGTCGATCCATTTCAGCTCAAAAAAATTTTCAGAGAGCTCAACTTCCTGGTATAAAGTAACGGTAAGTCATTCATTGTTGTATTTATAATACGCAGTTATAATGTTGTAAACATGTTATTTATAATGGAGATATTAAACTCTGTTAGTTTTTTTAGCACATTTTCATTAATATATTGGATGTGCTTGCTTTCAGATTCCTCATGGTAGCAGATATGCTAGAGAGTACATACTGAAGACATTACTGGCCCATATTGCACCAACAGTGTTCATTCCGCTCAATGTAAGTTCTTTGTCTTTTGCTCAATATGTTACTGCTAATCAGTGATTTTATCAAGATATCAGTTTACAGGGGAACTGGGATAGCACAGTCATTATGGTGACTAGGCTATGGAGTGGACTGTGCAGGACTGGGTTCCACTTTGAGTGGGGGCAAGAGGTTCTTCTCTTCTGTATAGCATCCAGACTAGCTCTGGGGCCCGAACAGCCTCCCATGCAATGAATATGAGGAGCTGTTTCCTTAGAGTAAAGCGGCAGGAGCTTGAAGCTGACCACTCATCTACATCTGGTGCTGAGGCTAAGAATGCTGGAACTATACTTCAACTCCCCCATACATATACATTGCATGGTGCTTAATTAATTAACCCCAGGGATGACTTTATGTTTTACCTTATTAACAGATTGTAGTGAAATCCCCTATTTAATGAAACTCTTGGGGAGTGGCTTTTGTTGTACAAAATAAAGATTTATGCAAAATTTCATCAAGAGACTGTTCATCTCATAAGGCTCACTGTATACAGTTATATAAGCAGTTCAGGGAACTGTTTCTACACAAAGGAGTGCAGTTATATAAATCAGTCATTTGAAATTCATTCCTAAAATAATTAACAACATATGAGGTAAATTTTTAATCAAGCCACCATGCTGCAACAAGGCCATGCCATAGCTCAAGTGGTTAGTCATTGGCTTCCCACTGCGGCAGCCCGGGTTCGGTCAAGTTGGATTTGTGGTGGACAGAGTGGCACTGGGACGGGTTTTCTCCAAGTACTTCAATTTCCCCTACCAATCTTCATTCCACCAAATTCTCCATCATCATAATCACCCAGGGCAGGCTACAATAGGCCAATCCGTGGCCGCCATGCCAAGTGGACCCAGTTGGACTCCACCCACCATTAAGTGAATAATTAGAATTAAATACTGCAACAAGTGGCATGATTTTGATGTGAATTCCATATGAGATTTCACTCACCAGAGCTTATGGTTGTACTGTAACAATTTCTGGCAGAGATAAGACAGGAATGTCTTCCCCCTCACCTGAGGATGGAAGCTCATCCAATTTCAAACCTGTAATGTTCTCTGGTTTTTAGAATACTTGATGATGGGCAAAGTCCAAAAACACACTAATTCTGAAGACTGAATTGGGGTTTCACTGAATTGATTTATTTGTAGTTTATTTAATGTCCCTATCACTAATTCAGACTATGTAGTGTCGAAGGTAAAAGGTAAAGCTATCCCTGTCACAGGCCATGGAGGCGCATAGGGTTGTGAGACGTCAAGGCTCCCGCATTTTTTCTAAACCACTGGCTCACAGATGGCGGTGAGGTTGTCACCCTTATGCACTGGCCAACTGTTACCCCACAGGAAGATTCCTGGTACTCATTTCTGTTAGAGACTGAGTCCACCCAGGGCCACAGTGCAGCTGGAAGGATTAGGTAAATCACCTCATTGGGAATGAAACCCGTGACATTGTGGCTCAACCAACTATGTTACCGCGTGCCCCATATAGTGTTGAATGGTAATGAAAAATTAATTAGAAGAGGCATGGAAGAAAATGGTCATGGCATAGTTTAAGATTAACCAGTGCATTTGTTTTGAAGGGACTAAGGAGGACCTGAGAAGATGCTGGCATTGGAGACTGCTTATTTCAGTTTAGAATTCTTGCTGCTTATTTTAGTATTGTTTCTTTTGATTCCAATGGTTTGAGGTCTTGTGTTATATGTATATAACTTTGTGCTGGGAACTTAGATAGCAGAGCTTTGAGAGCAGGAACTGACTATATTAAATTCTCATTTTGGGTGTTGGTAACAGATACTGAATTATATACAGTATCAGATGTAGGTAAAGTTTCTTGCACAGTACTGTACAATTATAACTTGTATGACTTCTGTTACCATTTTCACTGGTTATAATTTTAATTCAAGATAAGTTTTCTGTTATGGGGTGAGTGACATAATTGTGGGTTTATACATTTTTCAAAATAAGTTTTTAGCAGTGTAACTGATGAAATACCAAACACTGCTTACTTTCTTGGAATTTCAGGTTGTGGAAGTGGTAATGACATCAGATGGATTACTTGCGTGTAATTTTTGTGGTGACAGTATCTGGGTTATGCAATGTTGACTGGCATGATGATTGATGAATAATGCATCGGAAAGGATTTGGGATGAAGCACTTTCCTGGAAATTTGCTGGGGGGACAGAGGAAAATTGAGAAGCCTCAGGATAATGATGTAGGATCTGATTTGTTATGGGCACTTCTCTTTTGTAGTATGAAGTTTGTGGAATAGATTCCTCTTTCTTTGTCGACGATTCAGAGGCCGCAGAAAAGCTGGACAATGCTGACAGGAAGATCACCACAGTAAAAGGATTTAAGGTATGTTGTGGTGACAGATGTGTGAATATCTCAGTTCTGGGGATCAAATGAATGCATATTTTTCTGTATATGTTTGAATATTGTGCTGATCATCAAAACTGTCATTTTGTTATTCACTTACACATGTCAAGGATTTCATTTATACATGATACCAAAGAAATGTATGAATTGTAAGGGATGTGTCTCATAGAATTCTACAGATACTCTCATGCAGAAAGTCACTGAAAAACAAATGCATATTTTTCATTCTAAATGAATGAAAAGTTTAAAATTTATGCTATTTTTGTGTGAAGAAAGTTCATGAGAGTTATCCAGAAAGTAAGTTCCGATGGGATATTGAAAAAAAAAGAAAGAATTTACTTTCAAAACATTTATATTTCCACTTAATGTCCATATTGCAGTACACTACTTTTTGACATAGTTTCCAGCATTGCCGAGACACTTGTAGCGGGGTACCAGTATTTGTGTCCCTGCATTGTAGAATGATGCCGCCTGCAATGCAAACCGTTAATGGCTTCTTTGACCTCAATGTTGCCGTGGAACTGCCGGCAACCAAGGAAAGTTTTCAGATGAAGACACACATGAGAATCACTTGGCACTAAGTGTGGGCTGTAGGGCGTATGATGAAATTGTTTCCAGTCAAATGTCACGATGAGACTGTGCGTCACAGCAGCAGTGTCTGGGTGGGCACTGTCATGAAGCATCACAACACCCCAACTGACCATGTCACGGCGGCAGTGTGTGGGTGGGCACTGTCAGCAAGCATCACAACACCCCAACTGAGCATGCACATTTTCACTTCCTTCATTAAAGTGTCTTACCCATCTCTGTACCATCAAAACACTCGTGGCATGTTCTCCACACACACCTCAAAAAGTTTACGATCAGCGTCAGTCGGCTTCATGTTTCTTGCATTCAAGAAACGGGTTACAGACTGCATTTCATATGCGGCAGGTTTCTCAATTTTCTTCAATCTTGTACACACAGAGGACGATGCATAAATGTGGTGTGATTGTCTATAAATGGCGTCTGTGCCTCCCCATAAGATCAACAAACACTGCATGCATGGACATCACTGTGACCATGGCGTTGCAGCGGTAATATCTGGAAACGGAACTCATTTTGCAGATACACCCCATACTTAGACATACAAATATTACAGTATCAGTACTTAGTACCATTACATGAAGGGAGAATAACAAGACAGTCATAGAGATACAGACTGTGAGAATGGAAGGTGGATGGTCCAGTTTATTGTTTAATAATAATCTACACATAAAAAAAGGTTTATGGCAATTTTTTACACTCAACAACCCCCCCCCCCAACTAACTTCTATAAAAGTAAAGTAAATAAGTAAAGGTGTCCCTGTAACAGGTCATGAAGGCCCATAGGGTTGTGAGATGTTGAGGTTCCCACATTTTCTAGACAATCAGCTCACAGATGGTGGCAAGGCTGTAAGCCTTATGCACCGGCAACTCTTTACCCCAGGGAATATTCCTGGTACTCATTTCTGTTAGAGGCTGAGTCGACCCCAGGACCATAGTGCAGCTGGCAGGATTAGGTAAATTGAAAAATTCACCTCATCCAGATTTGATCCTGCAACCTTCCAGCTTGTAGCATAGTGCCTCAACAAACTATGCTACTGTGAGCCCCAAGATATTTCTATAGGCTACATAAAATGTTTGAGTATGAAATGACGAATGTAGAAAATTGCATAGACATCTACATATCAGCTGCATGTTTATATTCTGATATCTTACTATATATTGAAACTTTTAGGGAAATTATAACATCAGGCACCATGAAAATACTACAATTTTAGTAAGCGCTTATTTAATGACACTGTCAGGGACTCTATATAGTTTTGAATGACTAGACAGTGGATAATTGGAAAGAATGTGGAAGGAAGTGGTCAAGGCCTAATTTTAAGGTACTTGGAGGGACTCTGGGAAAACACGAAAACTACAGTCAAGATATTAGGTGTCATGGCCAAGACTTGAACCAAGTACATTTTTTGTTTTACTTCATGCAACTTTCTATCGGTCAGATTACAGAGTACAGAATGAAAAAACTATTAGTAAATAATAGACTGGAAAGGATGTGGATGGAATGGTAATGGCCTAATGAGCTACTATCCTCACATTATCCTGTCAGGACTAAAGGAAATCAAAAAACCTTAATCAGGACTGCCAGTCTCCAGGCCACGATTTGAACCTTGGGTGTCCTGAACAAGACTGCTACTCATTCAACCTCGACAGTACGTAAAAAGGAAGTAAAAACTTACCTTAAAAATGCTTCAACGTAAAGCAGAAATCACATGTAACAAACTGAAAAATAATACAGCACTAATCAATCTGAATACAGCAACTCACCCGGTTTCTCCCGATGTGAAGGACTTTGAGGTTCGGAACTTTAACAGGAAGCACACTCAGGCTGTCAAGTGCATAAAGCTTATTGTCAGATAAGTCAAGTGCTGTTAAATCCGGAACATTTTACTCAGTGATATCCAAAACTGCAAACATCATGTTGGGTCTGAATAATGCCACGGCATAATTATCCACAAGATTTGAAAACACAATTTCAAGTTAATCTTCAGTAATGCTGTGCATACCCATAATGCTAAACACAACGGCATAGCTCTGGTCCTGTTAAATACCACCTGTCTATGTGTAAGGGATGGACCATAAAATCTGGCCCTCACACAGCAACCTACAATGATATATTGTGCTTTCCCTTTGTATTAACTCTTTATTAATTCTACGCTTTGAATGAAATGTAGGACTTTATTTTGGGGGGCATCATATAAGTCACTTGGTTACATGAAGAACTGACCCAGGCGGAGATATCTTAAGCAAGCTATGGCCTCACAATCGCATAGGATATGTGTGACTGATTTGTCTTCTTGTAGACACCTTTCACAGGTTGGGTCATCTGTCAGTCCCGGGTTCAAAAGGTGTCCTTTTATGATCCAGTAAGTAATCCTACCACCCACCTTAACTGATCTCTGTTTAATTTCAACAAGTCCTTCGTTCTTCTGGCAAAGGGTCCTGATATAAACCCCTTGCCTGCCTGTCTACAAAACTACTGATAGACTTTGATTATGTTACATAGTGCAGTTGTAGTGAACCTGATTTGATAAATTACATAACACCATGCAGCAATGTCCCTTTTGAGAAGCTAACAGATGCTAAATTTTTTACGAAATTCCACTGTTTCTGGAACTCCAAGCATCATTACCAGGCTTGTAACAGCCTGCCACTGGATTCTTTATCAACAGGAAGATAATCCAGTTCACACAAGAGTTATGCTCAGTGTATGATTAACTGTGTCAACATTCACACTGATGATCCACAGTAACTTTATTTACTTAACACAAAAAAAGACCAGTACATTACAGTCTGTGTGTATTTCATAAAAAGTGACATGCCTTGATAATGACTATCTTGTTCTATCACTCTTTGGCAGTCCCTTCTACTGCAGAAAGCAGTCATATAGCACTGATTATGGGTCCCCCACAGTACATATCCCTTGGGCTCTCTCTCCATCCATGCCTGGCTACAACCTGTGGACACTGGTGGAACCCTGCACCCTATTTCACGAGTTGATCAAGTGTACACGCTTATGTTCATTACTTCCAAAGCCTCAACACAGGCCTGTTCAAACTGATATAGCTACATCCAGGGACAAGCTGGATGAGCAGGCACAGACTACATGATTGGTTATTCACATGCACACCTATTTCACAACAAATGTGTGGCTTGAGCTGGGGATATGGAATTTAATATTTTGCAAAATTAGTCTGAAAGCAGGGATGCACAGATTGTGCAAGGAAATAAAATACACTTTCTGTAGTAAGAACATAAAAAAGGTATACCAAAGGAACAGGACTTGTTGAAAACTATACAAATGAACTATGTGTCTAATTAACTGACGTAATGATGGTTTTCCAGGGACTATTATATTGCACATAACTGAAACTAAAATCCACTTACATTCAAGAGCAGATGCTGTACATAAGTTTAACTCAAGTAATTAGGTAAGACCACGCATGAAAGAGATCCATCAATGTACAATATAATTAAAAAAAGTCATGATCAAATTTGTTCTTTGTATTTTCCAGCATTGTTACTTCATTTGGCAGTTTATTAACAGTATAGGGCTGTGCTATAGGTTGGGTGGTTAGTCACCGGCTTCCAACCACAGTGGCTTGGGTTCCAGGTCTGGTCATGTGGTTGTATTCTTAGATCATCCACTGTTTTTGTTAAGATACATCACAGCAAATACAGTGTAGACAAGCATTCTCTCACCTGGATCTGTGTGGAAGAGAGACAAATCAAGGGCTTTTAGGTCAGCATTATAACGTTTCACCATTGCTGCCTTTATTTTGTCCTTCAGGGTAGAATGGAGCTCCACGTGTGGTAACACTGGCTTTACTTTTAACACCAGCTGAGCAAACAGACAGACAAAATTGTTTAGAACGATTTATACATGTATTTGTTACACTAAGCTCACAGTGATGAGGCACAAGCTATAATCAGTACAACATTCAAAGTCAAGACAGATTCACTTCAGTATATGGCAATATCTAAAGATATTACTGAAGTTTTTTTTATCTTTAGTGCATTCAGAAATCAGAAGTTAATTCAAAATAACTTAATTTCAACTTCAGAAAATCTCACCACAGTGGAATATCTCTACTTAACATTTCCGGTGTTAAAATCATCTTTAATTTAGTCTTGAATTCAATTTCTAAAATCCAGCATCCATATCTCACTGTTAGACCTCATTCCCCTACTAAATCCTTTGCACGCAAAAGGTGAGTTAAACTGTTTGGTGTACTTGCATTGCAACAGATGAATGATTCAAGTCAGTGTTAATTACTTAGTAGAGCATTTCTGCCAGCAGATGGTAGCAAGTGTGACGTTCAGAGGAAAAAACAAGCTTTAACATTACCTAAATCTCCTGCAATTTTAAACTAACATGTGAAAGTACTGTTTACCTTTTCTATGCACAACAGCATTTACTGCAAGCAGCCTTAGCATTTCCACCATGCAGTTCTATCACGGTTCGGGAGTATATGGGTTAAAGCTTTGCCAGTTTCAAGTTCCATTTTATACTATGCTACAGTAATATGAAAGTGGAGAGTGGCCCAAGGACTTTACAGAAGTTACAATGATTGCCTTAAAGAAAAAGACAAAAGCTACAAAATGCAGCGACCATCGCACAATAAGTCTTATTGCACATACAGCAAAGATAATAGCAAAGATACTTAAAAGAAGAATTGAAAGGAAAATAGAGGATGTACTTGGAGAAGATCAGTTTGGATTTAGAAGAGGAAAAGGAACCAGGGATGCAATTGGGATGATGAGAATT